ATTCTTTGCTTTGTATAGCTACCATGTAACCTCTCTTGTATGCCTTAAGCATTGACCCCTCTAGCATGCCATCCTTGCATCATTTCAGTGGTTTGGAACCACTTGTCATGTCATTTCAGTCTTCATGATATGCTCGTATGCTTGCATTTGATGCCCCTTTCATGCTTTAAAAGGTTGGTGTTTCTTGCTCCATGTTTGTGCCATTGTGTATGCCTCTAGGATTAGATCATTTAGATGCCATCTAAGTGGTTTTTGGGGATTACTTTTGTATGATTTAGGACTATTTTAGTTCATTTTGGTCATTTGGTTCATATGTCATATGGCCATGGTTTAAGTCCTTGGGCTTGGTGGCAAGCCTAGCTTACATTGTAGATTGGTTTGGCACCTTCTCTAACATGATTTTCAGAGCTTATAATGCATGCCATTTGTCCATGTTTGCATCCTCTTAAGTGTGCTTGAGAGTTGTTTCTATATGCCTAAGTGTTGGTCCTTGTGTGCACTCATGTTTGCATGTCATTTTGCCTTCATTCTTGAGCATGTTGGCTACTGTTTTGGGCTTGGTATAGAGCTACCCAAATTAGTTTGAGTCCATAGTTCGCATGTTGCTGCATGCTCATCTTGTGTGTTGCTGCATACTTGTGTGTTGTCATATGTTTAGGTTGTTTAACATGTTTGCTCCATGTGTTGTGGCATGATTGAATGAAGTCACATGCTTGCTTGCATGCTTGAACATCCCCATTGTATTGGGCATACTTATTGGTTAGCATGATTGTCACATGCCTTGAATGCTTGTTCGCATTGTTCATGCTGCATACTAGCTCATATGCCTAGGTTGCATTGCATTGACATGCATGCTTAGCCTCTTGAATTGAGTATGATAGAGGTTGAGCTCCTTGCTTGTTTATGTGCATTTCATTTGAAATCAAAGTGCATAACTTGGTTTCTTGGGCCATCACGCATCGAAATGCGCGATTAGTGGTCTGAGAACCGAGAACCATGTCCCTTTGAGTCATAAACATAATAAGGGATGTGTTGGTGCACACATTTGCTTGGAATGCATTGCCCCGCCTTGTTTTGCCCTCTACTACTGTTAAAACAGGATTCTGCAGGAATATTTGGCCGGCCGACCATCTTTAGTGCCGACCGACCAACAATTGGTGGCCGATAGCTTAACCAGTGGCCGGTGATCATTTACTTTGGCCGGTGACCATTTCCCTTGGCCGGTGGTATCCCACAGGGTTCATAGAGTGCACCTTGGGAATTTTGCAATGATCAGAGAAGGAAAACAGTGTGGACAGAGGCAACCTGTGCATGGCAGTGGACTTCCGAGCGGAGCCGAGCACGCATTGCATTGGGCCCTCTTCCCGAGGCTGTTTACTGTTTTATTAGATTAGTTAATTTGCTTAACTAGTTTAATTGGTCTGTAATATTTAATTAGCTTGTAGGTTAGTTAAATTTGTATTATTCTTTCGGTCCCTCCGAGCGAGGGCAAATTTGTAATAAGTGTGGGTGCGTGTGTGCATGTCTTCCAACCCCCACTTATGTCTCCCTTTTACTTACCTGCTTTGATGGTTAGTACTAGGACATATTTAATTTAGCATCCTTATGCTATGGATGCGTGCATCATTCATCAATATTGCATGCATCGGGCTCGGCGCATTATACTAACTGCATAGTATTTCAAATCTAAACTTGAATATGTGCATCAAATTGTTGCATTTCACATGCCATCCTAGGATTAGCCGAGCCTATCCTAATTGCATTCTGGATGCGTTGCATTAGGCACTTAACATGGACTTGGATCATACATTGATTGCTAACTAGTTTTTGTTTTGGCTTGGAGTACTCGGTAAGCTTTTACGCTTTAGCATCCTTGCATGCGTGTGAATGTTGCCATGACAACATAATTACCATGAGGCTATTTGCTTACGCGATATAACTGCTTGAATGCCTGTGGATGGAGGTTGAATTACGTGAATTGGAATAGTGCATTAAAACCGTGAGTTTTATGCCCACTTGATAGTGGCAAAAACCATCTTTTCTAAAGCCCACTTGAGGGTGGCAAAACCTGCATTTTAGCTTACTTACGAGTAGCAAACTACTTTAAAAAACAAACATGAAATGTTTTATTCTAACTCAGGCAATTTAGTTTATACTTGTATGCTGTGCGCATCACATAGTAAATCTAGGCTAATAACCGGAATAAGAACACATAATGTTTTCAAAACAAGATATCATGATTAGTAGAGGCCGATCTTCAGATCGGGCGAGAGTGGGTGCTCATAGCTGACCTTCCCCAATCATACCCAAGTTCCCGAATCGAGTCAACTCTGGTGATGACGGACACGTGGCCTTAGGCAAACGAGTCAGGATTTCCTAAATTCTCCCAAAATAAAATATTTAGGTGGCGACTCTTGATCTGGCAAAGCAGTTTATGTTTGGCACTTCTTTACAAAAAGTTATTTTTCTCAAAACGATTTGCCGAATTTGGACTCTTTGATTCAGATTAAGAACCGTGACAATTAGAGTCCGAACTGTAGTGAGCCTAAAGACGAACAAAACAGGACTCATCCTCCCGGGGCGTTCAGGGACGTCTACACCATGCCGTACCCAACTGAGGCAGAAGTACCCGACTACTTTTTGCCGTACCTGGTACGCGTGCAACCGTACCGGTACGCATACCCGCACCCAGTAAGTACCCGGTGCGTGTATGGTACTATTTTTGGAGTACCCGTGCTTCATAGTCATCAACTCATGTAAGAAGAATGGAAAAAGGAATTAGTATTAATGATGAATAACAAGGAAACACAATGATTAGTAATAAAGCCATGAGAAAGAAAAAAAGAAAAAAAAATGTGCAAAACCAAGCTGAAGGAGTTTGTTTACGACCATAAAAAGCCATATGAAGTTTCGCAAACCAGACGTTGTTGAGCAATATCAGTAATCCTAGTGGCTTAAACATGCAAACTTCTTCATCCAAAACACTTTGAAGGAATGCATTAGAGATGTCAAGTTGTTTGATGGGCCAATTACAATGAAAAGCAAGGCACAAAGGACCACAAAATGTAGGTTATTTATCCACAGGACTAAATGTGCCATGATAATCAATGCCCTCAGATTGAAGATAGCCCTTAGTAACTAGCCTGGCTTATGTCTTACAATGGTGCCATTAGAGTTCTTCTTCAGACAAAATATTCATTTGCAACTCATGAAAAGGCAAAAGAACTAAGGACCAACTTTCTTGGCTTTGAAGAGCCTTAAATTCATGTAATATACTAGTTAACCACGCTGAAGATTGAACTTCTTCTTGAAAACAAGATGGATCTTTAGTTTCAAGAGAAGCAACAAGACACATTTTTTAATGACACTTAAAAAGTGTGATTAAAAATGACTATTTTTAATCACACTCCTAAAGACCACACTTTAATAAAACTTAAAAGGTGTGATTAAAAAACATACATCACACCAAAAAAGTGTGATCTTTATCCATATTTGTAGTAGTGACCCTAGGTAGATCAATTCTTAGAGAGAAGACAAGTTTAGAGAGACAGAGAGTTGGCTCTAGGGTTTGAAAAGAAAAGATGATGAAAAAAAACATGTTTAACCTGCTGTTGCCTACTGATATGTAACAAGCCATTAGGACCTTACAGTTACACCAAAAATAATGACCATTAAATAAGAAAATGGTTACACCAAAATAATGACCATTAACTAAGAAAATGGTTACACCAAAAATGACCATTAACCAAGTTCATGAATTCTATTTAACCTCCATTTATGACCAAGAGGTTACCAAAGTAATGAAACCCCATAAACAAATATAAGATATTAAGGATAGGATTGGTCGCTCTAATGGACCACTAATAAGGATAGTAACTGAACCACTAATAAGGATATTAAATGAACCACTAATAAGGATATTAAATGAACCATTGGGAAAATTTAATGGACACTAACCCTTGGTTTCCAAACGCAACCAACCTATTTTAAACCTACCCAACACGACCCAA